TTAGATGCGAAGATTAACAGTGCGAATACTCTATCTTTCACACATTTTATAAGACTTGATAAATGACTAAGAATCAAAAGTTTTATAATTTTATTTAAATAAATTGTTTCTTATTAAATGAATATTTTTATGATGTCAAGCATATTACAAATTTGTATTCCTTTATACTATAATTAATGTTGCTTTCTCGAAGAAATTATAAAAAATTTTGAATTTCTGAAAGCATATCAAAATTATTTTCTCCTTAAAATTCTTGATCGTCATTATAAAATATAGTGCACTAGTCCATTTAATAAAAACATCTTGTAAGCCCATTTTATAGAGTAGTAGCTCGGAGAGATCCAACGCTAAGTACTTTGGACAGTCGTGTTGGAATCGTTGATGAGGCCCAATGCAGTGGCAACCCTAGACACACGCACACACCCACATCCTTGGCAACACCCACGCATATGTGGAACACTTGTATAAATTGGCTCATTATGAAACTCATCCATAATCTATGAAGCCTGGATGGCCATCAAGCTTCTTGGGATCCCGCACACAATCCCACACTCACTTCGATTACCCTGGCCGAAAAAGCAGGATGGATTGAGGGGCAACCCTACCATTTGCGACACGTGTGTAACTCGTTTTTCAAAAAAGGAAAACTGAGTGGCAAGCGGCGGAGAAAGACTTTCGCCCGGCGCATAAAACAATTCACTTTATGCGCCCGAATTTAGCCATTTGCCACCATTGAAGCGTTAACTGGACATCGCCTGTGGAACAGAGAAACCCATTTGGCATCCCTCGTAATGGCCTCGGTCCGGGCATATATACATTTTAAGCAGCATGGGCATCCCTTTTTCAAATATTGTTTCTGGGCATTACTTAATAAATAAAATGAGCAGTCAATGAATTTCAAGCAGAAAATTACTTTTAACGAGAAGTCATAGATAATGCTATGCTAACAAAAGATTCAAGTTCTAAGATAAGAACGTAATTTGAACGATTAAATTACGCTTAAGGTTGCATTTTGTTGGATAAAAGATATTGGCTGAACCATTGCTAACATTTTTCAACAAGCCAACCTATAACTTGACCCAAATTCTATTTTACTTTACTTTTTTAAACATTTTATTAAAGAAATTCCCATATTCATATTAAACTTTCTTAAAACGATTTAAACACTTCCACTACTCTCTTTAATTTTTCCGCGCATTCTGTTCGTTTTGACCTCGTTTCCCGGTCTTATAACTTATCCCGAATAAACCATCTGTTCAATATGAAAACATCCAAAAAAGGGAAACAAAAATTCAAAACAGCAGAAAATTGTTGCCAGCATAATTCCAACTTAATGCAAAACAGCTGACCACACTTTCCTCCTGCACCCTCGATGGAACCACCCACCTGTCAGGTGAAATATTTCTAATTTTTCAATGTCCGGAAAGGATTTTTTGCTCCCCGTTCCTGTTCATCCTTGACCTGTCTCAACTAATATCTTATGTAAAAGCAGGCAACAACTTTTAATGCATATCGACAGAGGGCTGCTGCTGATATTTCACAGACAGCTGGGTGCAGAGAACGGGGAAAACTATTTTTAATATGCATTGAAAAAGGCAAGATGGTAACAGGGCCGAAACTTTGACTAGCTCTTCTAATTGTGCAACTTCCGCTCACTTGGCCGAAAGTGTGCGGCTAATGCTGCACCTTAAGTGCATCCACCGCCCCCCCCAAAAAAAAAAACCCAAAATAACCCACCAAAACCCGACAGCTTGTCTTAATGCCCTTCACTTCTTTTTTTTGGGGGGGTGGCAGGCACTTCATTTTCCGAGCGGAGAGTGCAGGAGGCGTTGCCGCATAATAAATGGACAATTTGCCAGTTGAAGCGTGCAAAAGCCCGCAGGGATGTAGGATGGATGTAGGGTGCCGAGCACCCCGATGCGGTTATAGATTACTTTGGCCCCAACCCCTATTAGGGGGCAACCCTTGGCCAGCCATTAAATTATTTTCTGCAACAATTTCTTGGGCACTTCTTCTCCTGCTGCTCCTTGCCGCTCGAGGGCATTTTAATTTTTGATCTCGTAAATTTTCACAAGAGATAATAATAATATGATGCGTTCCACCTGGGAGCTGAGAGTGGGCCAAGTGTTCTTGAGAGCACCTCAAACTTCAGCTTCTTGCCCCGTTTTATTGACTTATGGCTCGGGACCACAAAAGGCCAAAACTTGAGCAATTATTAAAGTTGATCCAAGGCGAAACCCCTACCTTCTACAAAACCCTTGTGGCAACCACTAAATCATCTCTTTGATAAGCAATTTGATTTATTTTCCGAAAACAATTTTTTTTTTGTGCTGTTGCCGAAACTATTTCGGTGCAAAAAGCGAAACAACAAAAACCCACCGAGTTTAGAAATATTTGAGCTTAGGTATTCTTGTCCAGCATAAAACCCCCCAAAATGCTTTGGTTAGGTAAAATGGGCATTAACATATTTTAAAAGTAGATTGCTGCTGCCTGTTGTTGTGGCATGTCAAGCATGAAGTGCAAATAGCTTATAGCTAAATATTTATACACAAATTTTGGTTTGATATTGTTTTGCCTCTTTTTTCCCAGCCAAAACACTTCTGTGTGTTAGGGTCATCCATCAGCCGGCAGATGATGTCGTGGGTGAGGGAAATGCTTCATTTTTGACATAATTTGACTGCGATGAGGTGAGTTTGTGTCGGTTTTGGCAGAAAAGGAAGTTGCGAAAGGATTTGGGTTTGGGCCAGCATATCAGAGCGTGGTTGAATTGTGTTTAACATACCGGGATATTGGCTTTAAATATTTAACCCATAGCAACAGCAATCTTTAAATACCTCACTCATGATTAAGCCACTAAGCTGAAATATGTGAAAACATTTCACTTAGCTCTACAACTCAAAATTATGTATGTATTATATTAAAAATATTTTATTGATCTATAAAAATAACAATGAGCTTATAATCACTTAAAGTCCAACTTTTGCCAATAATTCCCTTAAAATTATTCCCCTGTTTCTTTAACAGAAGTGTGAGAACTCCTCGGGCATTTATTTGTATGCTATTGTTTCCATAATAACTTCAGTAATCCCTCGAAAATTGTTCAATTTAACGTTTCGAAATTGCCAAACAAAGTTTTTTACCCAAAATAAAAATTGGCCCTAAGCTGGCCCCAAATTCTCTACTCTACTCCAACATTCAATCATAACGGATCCCAAAGAGGGATACCCGAAGATAAGGAAAAACAAAGTAATTGAATAAGTCCAAGGAAATGTCAAAGTGGAAAGAATTTTCCCTGTGATGTGAGTTTTCGGTTGCTTAACTTTTTGGCACAGCTGTGTGGGGCCTTTTCTACCCTCTGTGAAATAATTTGTACCCAAATTAAGAAAACAGTCAAAACCGGAAATTTTCAGGGGATGGGAAAAATTGAAAAGCAGAAGCGTTAGCCAAAGTGTGATTAAAACTTTTTTTTGCAAGAAATTTGCCTTTCTTTCGAGCATGTGCGGAATAATTGGTAATTTTTTCATTGCCATAATGGTTTGATAATCGGCGAAAAGCCACTTTATACTCTTTTTAAAAGTGTTCAGGGCTTTAATCTTTCATAATAAATAATTGTTAATAATGACACCAATTATTATCCTTCAGAGGAAATTATAATTTCGGTTAAAAGGTTTAACGCAGAAAAGAAGGTGTATATTATTCTTAATCAGCATCACTAGCCATGACTATTAGTTTCTATACCATTTTGCGAACTTAACGTATAAAGACTTGAAACATTAGCCATCATCTTTTTATATTTGTACGCATATTAAGTTTAATACGACAGCTTCCATTTGAACAATCGGGGGTAAATTCGTTAAATTTGTGTTTAAAAAAAATGTTTCAATACTACTGACCCTGAAAACTTTAAAATGTAACTTGTGCATTCAGATTTGATGAGGGTATTCAAAATGTGTCATGCCGTATCTACAATTTAATTTTTGTTTCCATTATCATCAGGGTTTGGTAATCGCTGAGAAGCCTTTTTTAAGGTCCACGCTCAATTGGTATAATGCGGCGTAATAACCGTTATTTGACATGAAGAAGAAAAGTGAAAAGCATCCAGGGTTGTCACCCTTTCCCCAGGGAATCCGGGAGTGGCATTGCACCTTGCAGATTGTCGGTGGTGGTGGATGTTGCCTCCGGGCTTACAATGGATTAATTTGAATAGGTGTCTGGCACTCGGTCCAATTGGGAAAGTGTCTCGAAACAAAAAACGACACCGGGATGGAATCAAATGCTAAAAGTCCTGCGGAATGGGTGGTGCAAGGATTGCCGGCTATCAACCACCGCAAGCAGAGTTAGCTCCGTCGGCTGTTGCCTTTCCCATCATGCGTAATTCTATTTGTCATTTTGATTATGACATTGTAATGCTTTAATTGATGCGATGCGACAAAAGACGGGCGGATGGGGAGGGGAGGGGGTTGAGATACGTGGGTGCGACTGCTAACTGTAAAAGGCAATCAACCCTGTCTCTCTTTTGTGTTCCGGGATTTCGTCAGGGTGATGACTATGACGCGCCGGCGAGATTCCTCTTTTTTTCATGTCTCTACGTTTGACAAATCCTATAAACAACCCGGGGCAGCTTTTTGTGTTCCATGTTTGGCGTGTCTGCGGGCCAGAAACGTTCGAAATTTCAATGAATTTTAAATTAAAACTCTCCGGCTATGAAATAGGAGGAAAACAAGGTGAATCAGGTGGATATCGATATGTTTGAAGGGGTCGGAGCTGGATGGCTGTCTGCATCTATATTACATTTCCCCATGCATAGCTGCTCTGAAAGTCAATATATTGTTTAGCTTTAAATTTAGTCTTGAAGTTCAGTAGTTAAAAAACCTTCTAAAATTTTTAGGAGAGTTTTGCATTCCTTCAGAACACCTTTATCAAATACAACATGCGAATGGTAATAATAAAAGTATAATATTTTGGTAATTATTAATTGTCATGTTAAGAGGTTGGTAAAACTAAAAATCAAATTTTCTGACAAGGGAAAACCAATCAATTATTTTTGTATTGCAGTCATATTTTGCACATTTCATTCGGCGGGATCCATCTTTTTCGGCCAGTATGAAGTCCCGTGCTTCTTCCGATACAGAGTTTAAAGTTGAAGAAGGACTACGTCGAAAAGACAAATAGTTAATATTACAAGGTATCAATATATAATTCATTGATGCACCTTAAAAGCAAATGTAACATTTGAGCTGCAGTGCTAAAATCATTTGCAAATTTTATTCTATTGGCTTCGCAGATGGCCTCTAAAAGACATTCATGTCCATTTAATCCGTAACTAATAGAAATAAAATAATATTAATGGTCCTAATAGTGAATTGATTTAATTTACCCGTTAAGCATATGTTCGATGAAGTTGTATATTTGCCAACGGAGAAACGTAGGTTTCATAAATAATTTCCGCTGTTTTTCGACATCTATGGTATTCGGTTTATATTCGGGAAAAAGTGGATTTTGCCTATAAACACTTGCATTGTAAGGTAGATAATATTCTGCCTTTAAAACGTAGCCCACAGTGAGTGATTCGTAGTCAAGATCGGCTGGTATACCAATGCCAGCAATAAACTGTAAGCAAAAATATTCTTATCAACTACTATTTTGTTATAATTTAAGAGACACATTACCTGATGTCTTGTGGGCGCTTGCCGAGGAAATATTAAAAATCGTTTAGTTCTGGAATGCACATCTTGGGTTAATGTTTGGGGCAAAAAGCTCAAACAAAATGTGGCACAAACTGAAAACCACATGGATGTATTCATGACGGCGGCTGAAAACCAACTAAACTCAGTGCAGAACTAACAAGAAAACACAGATTCTTCTACAATTAGCATTATACTGCCAAATGGAAAAGTAGCATCCAGGTCAAAGTGGTTCAAAAACTGAATGCAAAATCTCTTATTAAAATACATATACTCTTGCTTTATAATTTTTTTGCTATACCACCTTTTTGTGTTGAAAGAATTTCAGATTGTGATGTGTAATATGGTTAAAAAAAGTTTAGCTTCTTTAAAGGCTTTTATCGCATTATAATCTTGTTATTAGGTATTTCTATTAGATTAATAGTAAGTCAAACAAGATAGTAGTAATAAACGCTTTCATCAGGTTAGTTTGCCAGACATATTAATACATACTCATTATCTATGAAAGTATATAATCGATCCATACATCTGTTTCCATTCAAATTACCCGTATTGTTCTCGGTGGCAGGCAAATACAAAGGGCGGGCTGGTCTCTTTCCGTTCGTGGGGTAATACTGTAATGCAAAAGCCGAAAATTGCGTTTCCAACTTGTTGTTGCCATGGCAATTTTCGGGCTCATGATAAGCGGCAACAAGAACAACAAAGCCGTGGAGCTGCCAACACGAAGCAGTTATTTTGCTGCACGCAAGTCGCAGGCTACGTGGCGCGACGCATGGTGCACGCAACCCAAAATTAGGCGCAGGACAAACATGTGTGTACACTCTACAGCAGTGCTGTCGATCTAGCCATATTTTCTTCAGATGGTGGCATTTTTATTTAAATTTTAATAGGGATTTGCAATAAATGCAAAATATTTATCTTTGAATACTGTTTTAATACCCGTGTATACTTCTTGTGCGAGTAAATGTATATATTTTTTCGGCACAACAAAATTTTTCAAAATAAAACAATTATTTTAGAAGGTTTTTGGAAATTAGGTTTAGGTTGCATCAACTACAGCAGATAAATATACATTAGCGCCAGATGCCAATGGAATAGTAAGTGGCCCATGTTAAGAAAATTAAGGAATATCTGATAGTCGTGTCACTTTACTATAGTTACTATTAGTATATTTCTAAAGGTAAATATTTGAAGCATTTTAACCTTTTCAATAAAGCGAAAATAATCTAGCCCTCAAGAATTTTTAAATTAAAATTAATTTTAGTAAATTAAAAATTTTATATTTTGGAAAAAAAACATATGTATAAAACATATTTATTTTTGTTAATAATCCCAAAAACTATTGCCCCAAAATGTTTTATGTAAATTGCATTTTCTTTAATCTTTCAAATGTTGATATTTGACATCACTGATAAGCTGATAAGGCTGAGTGGGAAAACGGGGAATTTCGCAAAGAGCAAAAATAAGGCGGAAACCAACCGGCAAGCCAAAAGGCGTAAACGTTGCACGCTGCCGTTCCACCTGATCGACTTTTCTAGGCGCTGCAGCCGAGGGGATGGTTAATAAAAGGGAGAGTGGCGGAAGGGAGGGAAATCGGGTTCTGGGAATGGGGAATACCCTTATATGGGAATACGAAAATACGGGAACGGGCAGCTGTTGGCGGCGTCATTCTAATGCACAAGGCACAGTGGGCATGAAATATTGTTGACAGGTGAAAATGCTACACATGGGGCACGCGTGAGTTAACGACATCGGGACACGTCACAGGCGGAGGCAGATAAGCCGAAACAGATACGGTGTCCAAGTGGGGCACATAGCACATCGAGCTGGGACTGGGACCCCGTGGGTTACGTGCTGGGTCGCCATTTGGGCGTGGCCACCTCCCCTGGGGGCGGCCGGAAAACGGTAATAAGTGAAAGTGTGTGCCAAGTGAAAGGGTGGCCGAGGTGAATCTAAAATTTCCGGTGGATGCGGCCGTATCTATTGCCGGTGTCAGTCAACCCCCAGGGCATTCTAATAAATACTTGATTAGTCGAATAATAAATTCAAATGTTTTGTCACTTTCCAAGGAAGCGCTGAAATTTCCAATTTCCTACGAATTCAATAATCTCTTATCTGACACGATACGGATGATTGAGTGTCCTCGAAGTCTTTAAAGAGAAGTTGTATCTTTGTATTATTCAAATGCAGTCATAAATTAAACTTAAAATTTTATTAGAATTAAAATATTTAAAAATTATATATTTAACAAAATGAACAGATTTTAGTTTCTCTAATTATATAATATTTTTTTATTTCATCATATCCGCTTTTCCGTATTTCCTTTATTTAACTTTTCTATATCCTCGACGGTATCAAAAGTTATTACTCTTTTCCCGTTTCAACTACACACGACACATGCTAGTCCATTATACGCTATGTCAAATCTTGGCAGCTTATCAAACACGCTTATCCAGGAAACTGCAGGCTAAATGCATTTTATTTGAAAACAAGAAACCCGTTGACAATTAGGCAAACCTCTACAAGACCCTTTCAGCGATAGGCAAATGTCCTGGCTTATCAATAACAGGTGAAATTCAAAAATTTGCATGGGACGAGCGTGCGACACGCAGTCTTGCTTCCATTTCAGTTGAGTTTGGTTCTTTTCAGTTCAGGACACGCCTGCGGCTCTGCAATAAATTCACTTTGCATTTTAATTTCAACTGGAAAAAGTAACGTGAAAAAGTATGCAATTTATCTATGGAGAAGAAATAAACACACACAAAGTGCAAACAAAGGAAGAATGCAAAATTGTGTAATTTCTGCGGCTGCTGCGTTGGTAGAAAAAAAAGGGGAAAAATCTTCCTGTTGCACACGTAGTCGCGGAGTCAACTTTTGGCCTCTAATGTTGCTGAAAATTGAATTTCTTATTACAGAAATGCTCGCGTTGCGTGCGGCTGCTGCGTTGTACAACAACGTAAAGAGCATTACGTGTTTACGTAAAGTTTCGGCGCCGGTCGGCCAAATTGTTTTCCCCCATCTCCCCGAGCTTTTCCGCGGGCTCCTTTCATTTGTTTATTTTACTTCTTTTTTTGTCTGCGCTCAAATTAAATGAAATATTTATTCAAACGTTGAAAATTGCTTTAAAATAAATAAAGAAATGGGCAAAATGATATGCCAAAAGGGCTGCCAAAATGTCGCCGCCAATGTCCTTTGTCCTCCGCATCCTTAACCCTTTCTTCCGCTGCTCGGAGAACTACTTGGGCTTTGACTGACTTTTTGCTATCTTTGGTTTATCGCCCAAGTGAATCATGTCAACCGCAAAAAGGGGCATCATCTTGGATTACCATAAAGGCGTCCGCATCCTGCGTCTAGGCGCCATTCATTTTTCATACATATATATATATGGGAGCGGGTCCTGTTCTTCCTGCAGGATCTAGATCCTGCATGTGCGCTGGCCCCAAGGCTTTGTTCGATTTAAAATGCCAGCAACAACCAACCCAGTTGGGAAATTTTATAAATGAGCTGCCAGCCGCTCCCTTTCCTTCTCCCGATGGCCAGGAAATCGCCTGAAGAGTCCTCGTGCCAAAAGGACTGCCGTCACAATGCCCCGAAATTCTTGATGGTCAAAGCCAAAGTGCAATGTCCGTGATGACTTGCCAGCCCAGTCATTCCCATAACCCCAAGGCTTAACCCACTACTTCCGATCTCCACCTCCTCCGTTCCCAGAAATAGTCGAAATCCGGAGCAAGGCGACAAGTTTGACGCCAGTCCCAAAATTGAAGTGTAGGAGATGAGTTCCGCTTCTGTTTATATTGAAGGCTGCCTTCTTCTTTACCCACGTCCAGTTTCTGTTCAGCAGCAATCAATCATGCGGTTTAAATTAGGGTATTTACTTAAGTCGGTCAATCGATAGTGGCGAAAGTAAAATATTTTCCCACTCCATCTTTTGCCTTTCGGAGTCTGTCAATGTGACAAACATCAGGAAACTTCTGAGGTTAGGAAAAGGTTTTAAAGGATTTCACTACGGTCATCAACGATTGGCAATGCCCTCTGAAATATAAGAAAGGGGTAGTGAAGATGAAGGATTGATGAGCCTTTTAAAATGATGAAGATAGTGATAAAAGGAGTTATACTTATATATATATATTAGTTAATAGTTCAAGCACCTATAAAAGATTTTCATTTCGAATCTTTAAAAAACTATTACAATATTACAATATCTCTGGGGGGCTTAAAATTTTCAAAAGTATTTATTTTTATTTTAAATAAATTGAGAAATTTTCAGATGGAGAAGGATTTTTGTTTTAAAACATGAAAACAAGAATAACTGAACATTCTTTAATTCAAGAGAGTATTTGAAAGTTGGTTTACAGTAAAGCTACTGCTGACAGCTGAACTTTATTATCACAGTTCCATATCTTAAATTACAACCTTCCAATAAAGGGGGTGGTCAATGTCAATTTTTGAAAAGTAAAACAAAAGTTTCCTTCCACATCTATTTACATTTGGAAAAGTTTATGCGGGCTGATTGTGTGGGAGTAGGTTAATGACATGCCAGGAACCTTTTAACTGCCATCATCCAACTCTTGTTCCCCAAAAATCCTCCGCAGGGGCACACCCGTATTAATCATGAGCCTGTCACCTTGCGTAAATATGGCAAAATAAGTGGAAAATGAGCCAAAGATGCTACAAGATATTTATTTGGTAATGAACTTAGCAGCCAAAGTTTATTAGAATCAGGGCAAAGTTTGAACTTGGAGTGGGGGGCAGGACTCTCAACAGTTAATGAGTGGGCCAAAGTAAATAAGTACATTATGAGCTCCAAAGAAAGTTTCTCAGGCTCAAAGGCAATCAAACACTCTTGGACTTTGATAAATCATAGTTGACCTGCGTCAAACTGTACCGCAATCGATGATTTATGGAAATTGCCCAGGCTAACCCTTTTCATCTCATTTTGTTTGTAAGCTGCTTGGCAATTTGTCAAATAATTGTATTTGGTGAAAATATCTTATCAATACATTGATTTTCACGCCTATCAAGTGCCCGCCCAGCATACAAACAAATTACGCTCAATGATTTCCAACTCAATATTGTTACACAGTTTCCGCCTTCCGGGATTCCCCGCAGTCGAATAACAT